TTTTTTACTGTACAATTAAAAGCAGCCTTGCTGAGAAGAGACTTCTTTTAAAACATTAGAAAATATTACAGGTCCTAATTTGAACACTATGTGTGAATGTTATTAACAGAGCTGTTGTACTGATTATTATCATTATTATTGTCTTACTTTTTATTTTATTTTACAGAACAACAGTAAAATTACAATAATGAATGTTTTGAATGTTTATAGAGTTCTTGCTTTTTCTCAACTTTTATTTTGGCGGAAACGCGCAGGAATTTCTTGACATCATGACAAATTTGGGAGGATGTTTGTTGCACATATCACATTGTCACGTGCCTTTAAAAAATGTATTAAAAAATGTACTGAGCAACTGACAAGTAACACTGTTTCAGCGCAGATTTTCCTCGCGCTTTGGACTTTGAACGCTGGTTAACAAGCAGATAGCTCTGTCAGAATACATGCAATGCGTGCGTGTATTAGAAAACATAACGTTCTGCAGTTTATTTACTAATTGTTTAAGGCCATTTCGCCATTTCAATCATCATACAGTAACCAGCAACAATCACCCCTTCCTCTTCTCATCGAAGACATGCGCTGCAGTACTAAACAGTCTCTCGCTGTCGGTGCTTGTAATGATTTTTGCGTTTTTCTCGGACAGTTGAAATGCTTCCACACTGCTGACATGTTTGTTGCATTATAAAGAGTGTGCGCCTCTCACTTTACGCTGGTTGCTATTTGATCACGTCACGTCATTGTTCGGTACAATTTATTCAGTCTTTTCGCTTATTCGGCCGAACACCGAAAGAGCATTTTTTGCTATTTTCAGCCGAATAATTTCAGTTGCCGAACATTCGGTGCATCCCTAGTGTTTTTTATTTTTATTATTAATCTTTTTTTTTTAAGTATAATGACTGAAGTTGCATTTTCTTTTAAAGCATATGGCAATTAAATTAGCTTTTAAATTAAATGTTAAATACATGCACAATGGAAATTCAAAGTGCTTTACATAAAACATTTTAAAAATAATCAGAAAAAACAAAAACAAAATTAACAATAAAAATAAAAGTGGAACTAAATTACATTTATTAAATGCAATAAGGGAATAAAAGAGAAGAATACATATGTACTTTGGTACAGTGCGAAAATTGTTTAGAAATTCTATATGAATTTGACACAGCTTGTACTGTTTGGAAATTAGATGAAATTACTGACATGAAATGCTTATTTTATAGAATATAATCGTTTATTTTCATTTGACAAGGCTGTTTGTAGATTTTGGCGATATGTTGTGCTTCTGTTCTGCCAAGTACAACAACCAGTGCCAATAATCTCAAAATGGCCAAATATTGGCCCGGCTGTAACTAGTATACAGTATGTTTACTGTACACATTATGCAATCTTTCTAGACTGCCAAAGATGAGATATTTTTACACAAAACTGGATTAAAATTGCAAAATGTCCGTATTCACTGGCCGCCCTGACTCTTTTATCATTGCACACTGTTTGACAGGCTGTTTGAATGAATAGTAGGCTGTGTTTAGTACATACTGCAGGATTCATTGTGAACGTGTTCTCTGTTCTGTTGACCTGTGTGTTTCATGTCAGGGAATGTTTGCTTCATTTGGCTTGATGCATGAATGGATTTCTTTTGCTTTGAGACTGCAGTAAATCTCCTGAAGACAAGGCTGATTTTGTGACAGTGCAATTTCTTTCTTCTGTGTGTTTGACGCTAAATGCTGTGACCGAGCTATTGAAAATGAAGGGGAACCCGTGGCACGCACACTTACGTCTCAAGTAAATATTGTCTTCTCTGACACTCAATGCAGATGTAGATGTGTTGTCTCTGAAAGCTGCGTCGCCTCTGGGTTCTCGGTTACATTCTGAAAGGTCCCACTCTCGTCTGTCATACTTGTTCGGCGCTGAAGACTTCTGGGATTGCTGTTTGTTTGTTTGTTTAAATGGCTTATTGTTGTTGGTTTTTTTTTATGTTTGCAAAGCTATTGCAGCACAGAGTTAGTGATCATTCTGCATCGTTTGTGGCATGAACAATATCCCAGATAGACAGCTAATTTTTAGTTTTTGTATTTCTATTTTTTAATTATTTGAAAAATATTAAATATTCTTTTTCATTCAAAACTTAAATTCATTTAAAAATTGTATATATATATATATATATATATATATATATATGTATGTATGTATGTATGTATGTATATATATATATATATATATATATACAAGTGTGTGTATACATATACATATATTTAAAGCTGAAGTGTAATTTCTAATATCACTTAGGGATGCATATATCAGTGATATATTGGTTTCATTGACCAATATTAGACTTTTTTATTTATTTATAAGTAGCATTAGGCAAAAGTTATCTAAATGTAAAAATATGGTAAATGAGCATGAACAATTAAATATCCAGTTTACAGTTTTCTATATTTAATTGTGCATGCTCATTTCTTCTATTTTTACACTTAGATGACCTTTCTTATCATGAAAAGCT